ACAGCAACAACAACAACAACAACAACAACAACAACAATAGCGGCAACATCTGTAATGCCAACAAAAGTGATAACACAACTGGAAAGTAAAAATTCCGAACCATGCCTTTATGCAAGAAATCGGCGAATTTTTGCGAAAACATGGGATTCGGCTATTCATCGTCTGTCACTTCCTGGAGTGTCATATCATCCTGAATTTAATTTTATTATACCAATCGTTAATCATAAAAGATCTACAACAAAAAATTCATTTCCCGATCTTCCGCAGGTTTCATTTCATGTATTGTATGTATATGTATATATGTATTTCTATATAAAATTCAGGAAAAGAAATGCAAAATAAAAAAGTGACATGAAGACTAAAGATTATTTAGCTATTTATAACTTAATACTATACTGATAATAGATTGAAAGATTTCCTTTTATTTCTTGTTGCTCTATACAATTTAAGATCAATCATAATTTAGTATTGAATTATGCCTCTTTTTTTTTTGTGTGATTGTAAGGAGATGATAGATTGATTTAGATTATATGATCCTCTCTACTACAGAAGTGTGAGAAATTGATAGGGATTGAGTAAACTAAACTATATGATCATACAAAAGAAGTGTGGGAAATTGATAGGGATTGATAGGATTATATGATCCTCTCTACAATAGAAGTGTGAGAAATGATTGAAATGGATTGACTATTATTCTTCCTTTATTGAACAAAAAAAAGGCGAGAAGCATCATTATCATCAATCCGTGTCCATCCGTCCAACAATCAATCCGTTCATGTTCACCGGATGGGTTCAGTCTCTTTTTTTGATGCCATCCATATATGCTGGTGCTTTGTCTCTGTGTTGGTTGGTTTGGTTGGTTGGTTGGTTGGTTTGTTTGGTTGGTTGGTTGGTTTGGTTGGTTGGTTGGTTGGTTTGTTTGGTTGGTTGGTTGGTATGTCAGTCAGTCCGCATATTTCAGGGTTTAGTGAGTGGTAGCTGAATGAATTCCGCTCCTATTTTCTAGCTTTAATTTTTTTTGTTTCCTCTTAATAAAAAGAGGCTTTCGTAGAGTTTTAGTAATCAGAAATTCATCTTTTTAGTAACATCTAATTATTTTTTAAAAAATAATTTCGCATAATTTAGTAATTAGAAATATTTTTTTCTAGTTTTTAGCAACGATTATAGCTTTCCAGTATTTCGATAATTATCCTTTT